ATGCAACACTATCTTAATATCGTGTAACTAAATACATTTGCCAGTATTTAAATTAAGATTTATTAACGTGTCATATTTACTCAATATATTTCTATATTCGAGACTATAAAAAAAAGAACACTAATCTCAAATTAAAAACAAGCAAACGAGAAACAAAGATGAAACTGCTGTGTGATAAACCTTACATACAGTTAACAAACGAGAATACTATTTATAACTAGGAGCTCAATGCGGGCGGAAGTATGAGATCACCTGTTATGTGCTTTCATATCGTGGGGTCTACACTTAACCCAGGGGAGTTAACGTTCACTAATTTGAACCAGAGTTTCTTCCAGGCATCTCTACGGAAGGGGGGGGGGGGGGCGAGGCCCCCTACCCCCGAAAAAATTCTACTTCCCCCCCCCCCCCCCGAACGAAATGAAATTTATATAATTTATATAGAAAATATATACTTTTAACAGTGCCGCCCCCCCCCCCCCCCCCAGAAGAAAGTCTACCGCCCCCCGAAAATTACAACTGTCTCCCCCCCCCCCCCGGAGAAAAAAGTCTGGAAGAAACACTGATTTGATCAAGATACGAGTCTGAGACATCAACACTTTCAGACTCGAACCGGGAAACCTTACACATGCTCTGTCACTCCACCACCTGTTCGAGAATACTAAGTAAAACTCCTTAATTTAAAAAAAATACTTTATGCTGTGTTTATCGGTTAAATTAGGCAAACAATTGGTTACTCAACAACGAATATAAACATCTAAGACACACACACACACACACACACACACACATATATATATATATATATATATATATATATATATATTATATGTATATAAATATATATATAGGCCTATATATATATATATATATATATATATATATATATATATATATATATATATATATATATATATATATATATATATATATATAGCCACCGTGTAGTGCATTTGGATAACAAATAAAAAGTTAAATATATTTATAAGTTTACAAAGTAATTCAAAATAGAAACACAGTTCTGTACATGTAAATTGTTATATGTTTAATGGTGAAGTATCGAAGTATCGAAGTCGGAAACTACAAAAAAATTGTTGAATACTTACACAAAAAGTGGTTATCACGTAGTTAAAGGAAATTATTTTAACTAATGGTAAACCCACATCAGTAACACTGACATTGTAGCTAATGGAATCTTGAAATTTCTGGAACTACAAAGTATTTTCTTACAGGTAATAAAATAACCACAGAAAACGGACAAACTTTCTAGCCAATGCAATTTTTATGTTGGAACTTAAGACAAGGTAGTTAAAAGTCCAGGCGATGTTTTTGTTCTAACGGATTATTTTGAAAGAGGAAATAAAAACGGTGCTGGTAGAATTTGAAAGGAAATGAAGTAATGTGTATTTATAATTATTTTTGGAACTACGCATCGTTAAGCCAGTCCTCATTCAACCCAAGCTTTATAAACCAAAGTTTGAGCTCAAAACATAATAATGTGTTACTCACTCAAACGGAAATCTATCTCTAACTCATGACCCGATGTAACTCAACCCCTCACATAATCCAAGCCCAGAGAAAACTTTAACATAAGCCCTTGCACAAATCCTAACAAATAACCAAATCCAGATCAAACACAGCTCTAACCCATAACATTACAAAAATAAAAACAACACAACAGTGCGACAGTGGGCTTGCTTATAGAATAGATGCTTGGAAGAATCTCTGAAAGCAGACTGAGCTAATCAGTGTTTCTTTGAGGTTTTTCTTCAAAAGAGGGGGGGGGGGATACCACCTCTTCCACGCCTTAAAGAAAATCGACCACCCCAACCCATGAACACAATAGTGAAAATTCATAAATTATATAGAAAATATATACTTTTATCAGTGCCCCCCCCCCCCGGAAATTTAGGTTCGCACCAAACCTCCCACCCCCCCCCAAATGTTTAGTCCTCAACAGTGAAAACATACAACCAAACACTGGGGCGGACCTCCCCCCCCTTACGTCACAGTTTGTTGCTACACAGCAACACGCCACAGTGTCGTAGTGTGTAGTTCCCCCAAGACTTCCGTGAAAGATTCATAATTTGAGTTGTTGGAAAAAAGAAACGTTCGTCGCCCCCTTCGTTCTACCCCCCCCCCCCCCCCCCCTCCCGTTTCCCTAGCCCCCTCTTACAGAATGAACAACACCAGAAAACGGAACCTGAGTCCCCCCCACCCCTCTCCTTCTCTCTTGAATGGATTAAAAAAAAACATTGCTTCATGCGCATTTTATTTAAATTAGTTTGCAACCACGAGCGCTTAGCTCCAGCCTATTATCTAACATGGTTCGCAAGTGAACATTGGTTTAATTTATAACAAAGTTAGGTGTGTGAGGTGGGGGCGTTTTTTGCTCAAGCTGATGCTATTAATAGATCTATTTTATTTAGATTTAGATTTAATCTTTAGATTTAGATTTAAATGTAAAGCTACACCAAGATGATCAGGTTGGAGTTTCATTGTAAATGTGTGTGTGTGTCTGTCTGTCTGTCTGTTTGTCTTTTATGCACTACTACACCTCTCATCACATCGCCGTGAAACTTTGGAAAGTTGTTGAGAATATTCCTGGGGAGGTTTCTGTGAAAAAAAAAATTCAAATTCGAATGGCGGCCCGAAAGGGTGCGATTTGTTTTTTTCTCTATATGCGGTATATAAAAATAAAAGCCAATTTTGGTTAGACAGCGTTCATCCGATCGCCATCAAACTTTGGTGAGTTCTTTAAAAGACTCTGGGGAAGAGTTCTGTAAAAAAAAAATCACTTTTAATTTAGCAAGGGCGGCGCCACGGGAGTGTGAGATTTTTCTCAATATAAAGTATATAAAAATAAAAGTTGATTTTGGTTTGACACCATTCATCCGATCGCCATCAATTTTTGGGGAGTTGATTAGAACACTTACCTGAAAGGGTTCTGCAAAAAATATATTTTTAAATTTCGCAAGGGTGGCGCCACGGGAGGGTTCGATTTTTTCGGCAGGGCGCGATTTGCTTTTTCTCCATATACGGTATATAAAAATAAAAGTCGAGTTTGGTTTGACAGCGTTCATCCGATCGCAATCAAACTTTGGTGAGTTCATTAGTACACCCTGGGAAAGGGTTCTGTAAAAAAAATCATTTATAATTTCGCAAGGGCGGCGCCACTGGAGGGTGAGATTGTTCTGTATGTACGGTATATAAAAATAAAAGTCGATTTTGGTTTGACACCGTTCATCCGATAGCCATGAGACTTTGGGGAGTTGATAAGAACCCTCCAGGAAAGGGTTCTGTAAAAAGACATTTTAAATTTCGAAAGGGCGGCGCCACGGGATGGTGGGATTTTTCTCTATATACGATAAATGAAAGACAATGGCGGTTCGACACAGTTTATCCGGGTGCCATAGAACTTTAGGGAGTTGATGAATATTCCCGAAAAGTTTATAGGGTGGGAGAGGGGGTGAGGGTGGTTGAGGGTGGGTGGGTGGTTGTGGGAGGGGGGATTTAATTTTGCATGGGCGGCCCACCGGCAGGATGCGATTTGGCGCAGTGGTCTTTTCCGTGAGCGCTATGGGGAATACGTTCGGTCTAAACAGTGTGATAGACAATGGATAGGATGAGGCGTTACAAACGTTCACTAAATTGTATCAGGCGTGTCCGCCGGCGCCCTGGTAGGGTGCGATTTGGCTGTAAACAAAATTTTCAGTTTCGGCCCCCAAATGCTCACATAGGCCATATAATACGTTTTATTTTAATAATCAGAAAAATTAACCAAGGTTAGATTATTAACTTGGATGTTTCTTTTTGTCCGTAAAAAAATCCAAACAGTTTCGTCACTTTGCAATATGATGCAATTAGCATCTATTTTTAGACAATCCAATCAGAAATTGATATCGAGCATCTAATAATAGACCATTAGCAACGCTAACATATTGCATCAGTCACGCTGATGTTTAAAACATGTCAAATATTTTTTTCTGTTAAAGAAAAAATCCTGTTCATTTGTGTCCCTTTAGCAAATGACGCAATCTGCATCATTGTCAACAGGATGCTATTTGGCACGATGGCGTCTGTTAGTTTTAAGGAGCCAGGGGCCGTACGCCGCGCCAACGCGGTAGTGTAATAGAGTGGGGGTGGGGGGGGGGGGCTCATGAGAGCCCCCCTCTACGTCTCTGACACATGGGCGGTCACCGAAGTGTGTTCTACTATATTATTTCGGTGAGTTATTAATGTACACTCAAGTTTTTTTTTTTTTACTCCGTTTCAGAATGTTTCGGAAATTATTTAGGTACGTGTTATTAGATAGCTTGGATGTACAATATGTTGCAACCTTTCATGCGATTTATGAAAACAATGACATTACATTTAAGCAAATTTTATTACAGCATTCATTTGTTAAAATAATAACAAATAAAGTAGGTTTTCTATAGAACACATCAAACGGTCAAGGAAGAAGGAGAGGGTTAGACTTACATAACATTGTGTGACGAAATGGAGTTGTGGGGGAGGGGGTATGGGGCTTAAGAAAGTGTGGGGACGAACTTTTGTAATTTTTTAAAGTTATGTTCGGAACTTTAACATTTATTTTGCATCGCTAAACGATCGTTTTTTGTTTGTTTTTTTGTAAATTACATAAAATCAATGGATCAATATACTCAGATTTGACCAAGGTATTGTTACAGTGTGGGACGGCGTGGCCCAGCGATAGAGCGCTAGACTGTAACCACGAAAGTCTCGAGTTCGAAACCCTGAGTCCACTCATCTCTGATGTGTGTACCTAGCTTACGTTATGGAAAGTAAAGACGGCTGGTCATAGAGCTGACCACACTATCCCTTCATATGCCTAGTTCACAGAAACAGTTGAACTCTACTTTCCCCATGGACCGTCAAGGTCTGGTTTCTTTTGAAGGTGTGTAATAATGGGAAATGAGAGAGGTCAAATTAGTTGTTTTTTAAAGTGTGACGTCATATATAAATGCCCGTTTCTCCCCACCCTCTCCCCGTCCACGAAGACAGTTTTAACGTTTGAGGTCCGTGGCCAGTTTATCCCAAAACATGACGTCACTCTCGGCGCTGGACTGCGGGTAGTTGATGTACGTGTTGTTCTGGATGTGGCACAGCAGGTTCCGGCCCAGCTCCTTGGAGGGGATGGACTCTTTCAACAGGAACACCAGAACTTGTCGGCCACTGTCCACTGACTCCATATTGGCCATCTGGGGAGAGGGATGGGAAAGGTATTTTTTTCATGATTATGAGATAATTTCAAGCGTTCAGGAAATAAACCTAACTAACTAAAAAATCCGAAGTGGTTATCTGTGGTTTATCCCATGTGGTCTTCATTTAATTTCAGGTAAATTTTTGGTCTTAATTTCAAGATCATATCAAAAATATATTTAAAATAAGTCTTTTCTTTTGATTTAAGAAGCGTCTAAATGTTTAGAAAAGTTAAAAATACATATAAATAGTCTTCTGTAAAATAGATATAAGGAATATTGAAATAACACTTAAATGGACTTAAAGAATGAAACAAGAGAAAAATCCACACAAAAAATGTCCGTAAAAACATTCAAAATTAAAAATAAAATAAAATGCCTTCTGTAAATATTTTGTCTACGTCTACACAAGTAAGAAAAAGATAGTAATTACAAAAATTTAACACATCGAAATGAGATCTCCGATTGTTTAAGAAAAAGTCTACAAAGTAGACAACAGGTGCACAAATTGTGCTAACGATTCAGATTGTTGTAGGGACGGCAAGGTTATGCAATAGAGCTAACGACTTCTTTCTCAAATGACTCGAGTTCGGATTCCAGCCACAAGTCTTTAAGGCGTACCTGAGTCCACCCAGTTCTGATGGGTACCTGACACACGTAAGGGAAACAATGCGTCACTTCATACCCCAAAGTCACATAAGCATGTCAACTCTACTACACTTGCCGAATTTAATTTTACTTTTATTTTTACACATTGCACCAGCTTACTTGAACACACCCTGAAAAAATGTGACACCCCAAAGCATGCAAAATACCATGTGGAAAGTTAACTAGATTTCACATTTTTCTGTGATCTAGGAATATAAATTGATAGTTAAGGCAGCACTATGCCCAGCCACCTTTACTTCCATCTAAAATTAGTTAGGAACCGTTCAGTGGTTGGTGGACTCAGGGACGTTCTACTGACATGAAACCGGATTCGAATATATTCTATGAAAAAAACAACATACACCCCTAAAGCAACTACCTGCAGCTCATAGTTACACCACTTGCTGGCCAGTAGGTGTTTGGTCAAGATGACCAGCGTCTTCCTGCTCTCCTTGACGGCCGTCACGATGTTGGCCGCTATCCAGTTGCCCGTGGCGAAGTCTCGACCGTGGACGTGAAGCTTGAGGTCCCTCTGTTTCAGCTCTGAGCAGATGACAATGTTATAGAAACGTGTTACACGTAATGTGTGTCGTGAAATCATACAAAAATAACACACAGGTATAATGAATTACACATATAATAATAATAATAATATTATTATCCACAGTTATCCAACGGATGACGGGTAGTCTAGTCTATATATATATATATATATATATATATATATATATATATATATATATATATATATAATTTGTAGATCGGTAGAGAGCTGGGCTGCTAACCCGAAAGTTCGAATCCGGATTTAACCCATCTCTGATAGGTACCTTACGTTAGGGAAAACAAAGGAGGCTGAACATTATCCAACTATCACACTATCCCTTCATATGCCGAGGTCTATGAAACAGAACTCTACTTCATCTGCCCCATGTGTCTCGGGCACGTACGGTAAAAGATTATATATAGATATATATATATATATGTGTGTGTGTGTGTGTGTGTGTTGGGAGACAATGAAAGCCTCCACGTCTATCTGTAGTTGGACGGCGTGGTCTAATAGTAGAGCGTTTGCTTGCTAATCTGAAAGTCTCGAGTTCGGATCTCTGTTTGGACTTGTGAATCCACCCAACTCTGATAAGTACCTGACACGTTAGTGAGAGTAAATGCGGCTGGGATTAGTGCTGACTACCTCTGCCTGCAGATAAAGTTGAATTCTACTTCACCTGCCCATTGGATCGCTAGGTGTAAGGAGGAACTTTAATTACCTCTCTCTAAACACCCCCCCCCCCCGTCCCACTAGCCATACAAGTATACATAAAGAAACCATTTGTATTGGGGTGTGTGAGAGGTGAAAAGAGAGGTACTTTACCATCTTGTTTGTCCGGTTATTACATACAATACAATTTTTTGTATAATTAGTTAAGCTTGTAAAACTATTATTATAGACGAGCCGAACCGCGGCGTAGCATAAGCCGCTTTTTAGTTGTTTTATTTTCTACTTTTCAGTAATACATAATTTGTGAATTTTACAATAACAATGATGGGGCTGAAAATATTTTCCTTTAAAACACTATCAATAGCTATTGGAGGACGATAATCTCCCCCCCCCCTACCCCCTGCCTTCGTGGGGTGGGTGTGGTAGCAATATACTTAAAGAGCGAGGGAGGGGGTAGAACGGCGCGAGTACATGGTGGTGTACCGCATGGTCCCCAGGTAGAGAATTATATATATATATATATATATATATATATATATATATATATATATATATATATTGATACTGAGTTATGAAAACATAGCATATGCTGGTGCCATAAAAGATAATCTTGTAGGCTACTTCAAGTGTACTTACCTGGCATGAGTTCTTTTAAAATAAATTCCTCATCTTGGTGGGCGTAGGACAGGAAGACGTCGTACCGGAAGTGTCCACATTCTGTCATGTCCGAGTTCTTCAGCTTGATCACAGCAGCGTAGTACAAGTACCTGAGCTTCCAGCGAAAACTGGAAAGATGGAAAAATCCGAGTTCAGGTCTGAATTGTGCACATCATATTAAATACAAATACACAACGATAGCGAAGGCATTCATATAAAGTGATGCGTTTGTACACACTCCTAGAGATGACTGTACACATACATTGATGATCTACAAATATATGATGAAGTAACTTACAAAACATACTAAGACGCTTCTGATTTCTTTTGATGAAATTGACTTTCAATATTTATTTCTTAACTAAAGTTTGGATTTTTTATTTGTTACTATTACAATAAACCGGGAGTGATCTCCCCTAAACTTTCTCGAATATTCTTGTATAAAATAACAGGGGATGGGAACTCGGGCTATAGACATGATTTTTAATCCATTTTAAATTCTTAAAGTTTTAAAAATAGAATAAAATCTCGTAGACAAATTAATTGCACACCAAGTGAACGCCAAATAAAAAAGCGCATAATAGTGCGCAATATTATTAGTACTTTAAAAATTTACATTAGTTTTTTGAGAAATCGGAAGTAGCGTAAATTACTACTTCCGGTCAACGGAAATTACTCAAAATTTAACAGAAGGTAGAGAATTAGATCTTTTACTTACATGTGAAATTTCATTTATCTATCTGAAATAGTACTCAAGTTATAGGCTTTTGAAAAATTCAAAGTAGGAAAAGTACCACTTCCGGTTATCGGAAATCGCTCAAAAGTTGATACGGATCTACGATTTTGATAAAATACTTATATATGAAATTTCATCAACCTAGCTGTAACGGTTCTCAAGTAATCGGGTTTACACACGGACAGACAGACAGACACACACACACACAGACACACAGACATACGGACAAGATTGCAAAATTATGTTTTTCCGTATCAGTGAGGTGTAAAACGTCGAGATTTGTAAAAATCTCTATTTTTTTTTTGCACGATTACAATACTTTCTCTATACTTCGTATATACGAGAAAGTAAAAATTAGTATACTACTTTAAATGTTACTTAATTAAGAAGGCTAAGTCACTTCTAATTAATTTTGATGAAATCGATTTTTAAATATTTTTTTCCTAACTAAAGTTAGGATATTCGATATTTCGCTGTTAGAAAATTTATTTTACTGTTTACCTTTACAATAAAAATGAGTATACTACTTTTATTGCTATTTAATTAATAAGGCCATAAGATTTTAAAAGGGTAAATTATTATTTTTTTTTATACAAGTGGACTTAGCAGGTTTTGCAAGTGGCGTCCTCTTATGGTACACATAAGGTAATGGTGCACACTAATAGAAATGACCGTGTATATGAAGTGATTAACGGTAAATATGGCCATAAACATAAAGCGATTAATCGTTCACGTTGCTAACAATAAAACAAAGTAAAGTTTCAGTTTCGGACCAGACAGATGAAGTAGAGCTCATCTGTTTCTTGGCCACTGCATATAAAGGGATGTTGTGGTCAGCACTATACCCAGCAACCTTTACTCTACCTGGGTGAATTCAGTGACGCCCTTACAGACTCGAGTCCGAGATCTGAACTCGAGACGTTTGAGTTAGCAGTAGAGTGCTCTACCACTCGATCACGCCTTCCCATTGCTAACAATAGCCCAGAGGCGTAGCGACCCTTCCCGGCGCCCGGGGACAAACTTTTCGATTTGCACCCCCCTCGAGATTTTGATTTGCACCCCCCCCCCCTCAAACTTTCGATTTGCACCCCCCTCAACCTTTCAATTTATTTTTCCAACCCATTTTGGCGCCCCCTAAGGTCGGCGCCCGGGGACATATGTCCCCCCCCCCCCTCGCTACGCTACTGCAATAGCCACACACATAATGAAATTATCTGAAGAAATCGACTTAAAATAAAGTGGTAATATGATATGTAATATCGCACACAGATTGATTACATGTACACAATCTCTGTGATGATAATGACCATGAACATACACAGATTAAATACCTTTAATAACCATGAACACATATAATTACCTGTAAACGACACCTGTGATAACCATGAACACATATAATTACCTGTACACTACACCTGTGATGACCATGAACACATATAATTACCTGTACACACCTGTGATGACCGTGAACACGTATAATTACCTGTACACACCTGTGATGACCATGAACACATTTAATTACCTGTACACACCTGTGATGACCATGAACACATATAATTACCTGTACACACCTGTGATGACCATGAACATATATAATTACCCTTAAACGACACCCGTGATGACCATGAACACATATAATTACCTGTACACACCTGTGATGACCATGAACACATATAATTACCTGTACACACCTGTGATGACCATGAACATATATAATTACCTGTAAACGACACCCGTGATGACCATGAACACATATAATTACCTGTACACACTTGCGATGACCATGAACACATATAATTACCTGTACACGACACCTGTGATGACCATGAACACAACAGCCACCGTGGACCCCAGAACAGAGAGAAATATGGGCACGTTGTCAGCACACTCCTTCTCTAGACGACGAATCTCATTGGCGTACCCGTCCGTGATGATCTTACGCGTGTAGGCGTTGTACTGACACATGTAGTTGCGCAGACCAGGTGGACTAAACGCCCCCGAACTGACCAGCCACTTCAGGAACTCCAAATGCTGGCAGTCACATCGTATAGGGCACTTTGACATGTCCACGCTGATAGAAACGTTCAGATCTTTCTTCAAGTGGTCAATGTGCTCTCTTATATTATTTGGCAAAGATCCAAGTTCATTGTTACTGATATTGAGCTTCTTTAGCTTCTTCATGTGGGAAATATCCACGTCAAATGTCCACAGCTGGTTGTAATCCAGGTACAGAACCTCCAGTTTATCCAGTCCTATAAAAGTATGTTTGGGAAAACTACCCAACCTGCTGTTGGATAAATCCAAGTACGTCAGATTCCCAAGATCTTGGAAAATAGTCCCGTTTAAAAGATGATTGCTGAAGTAGCCTTCAAGAGTGTTGTATCCGAGCATCAAAATCTGTAAAGAAGGAAAGTGTTTGAAAAAATTCAAACCGATGTACTCGACTGAAGTGTGCCGAAGATTCATGTAGGTTAATTTATTCAATCCCTTGATTGGGCCAAAGACGCGAGGGAAATAATTTTCCGCCAGATTGAGATCGTGTAGCGTGTTGTCTTCATCGATTTCAAGTTCTGTCAGGCGCAAAGCCAAGCCGGCCACACTCATGTCCAACGTTTTCAGCTTCGGTGGTATCCGGAGCTTGATCAGGTTCGATCCAGAAGCTCTCATCGCTGATTGAAACATGTTCAAATCATATTCAGAACTGACTTGAAACGGATACTTTGTGGGGATTTTGTAAATAAAACCTCCACGAGTTAAACGAAGTTTTTCAAGGTTTTCAAGTTTGTGGAGATTGATTAAATATTTGCCAAAAATGAATCGATTGTTCCCAACATCGAGATAGCGGAGATTTTTCGGCAATTTTTCAAAGACGTCGTCTTCGACGGATTCGAAGCAGTTCTCCCGAGCTTCAAGGTGTATCAGGGAGGTGGGTAGGTTTTCAACCAGCGAGGAGTTGATGGTGATGCTCTTAGAAAAGCGAGTGACGACCGAGTTGATTAAAAGCTTGGTGATGTTGTAGTTTTTTATCCCCTTCAGAAAACCTTGGAGCTTCTGGAGTCCTATATTAACGTTATACGTCAAGTCAAGGACTTTCAGGTTTTTCAAAGGAACGAAGGCGTCATCGTGAGACCCGTATCCATTGATGTAGCAGTCACTGATGTTTAGGAATGCAAGTTTTCTTAAATTTCTAAACGTGAAGTTGTTTATGTTCTCGAGACGACAGCAACCATCGTTGTACCCGGGTAGACTTAGATTCCTCAAGGAGTACATTCCCAGAAAACCGAACCCAAAATACGTCCCAGTCAGCCCATCCATGTACAAAGCCGTGACGTTTTTCAAGTCTGATAAAGCTTTGTCAGGATACACATGATAACCAATTTGAGGACAGCGATTGTTCTTTTGTATTCTAAGAACTCTTAGAGATGACAAAGGCTTAAAAATCCCTAAAGGAAAGGTACCATTTACGTACTCTAACTCGTTTCCCCGTAAGTTGAGCTCAACTAAATCCGCCAAGCATTCAAAAGCCTTGGGTTCCAGAAGTTTTATGATGTTCCTGTTCAAATACAAAAATTTCAATTTTTTTGTCTGGCAGAACGTGCTGTTTTTGATGGTGGTGATGGAGTTGTTGTACAAATGCAGGACGGTGATGTTGTCTGGAATATCGTGTGGCACCGAGGTCAGACCTCTGCTAGAGCAGTCGCACACATTTTTTCTGATTTCACATTTCCCAACCGTCGATGTCCCCTGCTTCAATACCGCCACCTCATCAGCTAAAATCGGACAAGCTGTTTTGTTTTTCTTTAAAAAATAATCGACATCTTCATCATCATCTACATCTTGATGAAACACGATGTCATCGAAATCATCGAAAGTGTCTTCCAACGATGACGATTCTGATATCTCCATAGAAACGACGCCAGGGGATCTTGTCGTGTAGGTCACACAAGAATACGGCAGGAATACCAGAAGAACAAACACAAATTCATTGAAGGGCTTCATCGTGGAGACAAACCTGAGTGTCTTACAGCATGAAATCTTCACCTGTTGGGAAAATAAAGCCAGCCTCCAGTTAAAACCCATGTCAAGACTTATCCTAACCTAAACCTAAACATACTAAATATATAAATTTAAATCTACAAAATAAATAAAACGAATGTCAATTTTATTCTTATGTCAGTAACAACTTCAGTGGTAAATTTTCGTTTCGTTGGCGTCCGGCTAATGACTTCATGTCAAATTTCAGATAACCTTTAAGAAACAACAACAGCTAAACACTCATTTTAATAAGTTTTACATAAAGAGCTATGCGACAGTGTTGTCTAAGCGGTAGAGTGATAGGCTGTTAACTCGAAAGTCTCGAGTTTGAATCCGGTTTCAAGACAGTAGTCCACCCAGCACTGACGGGTACCTAACTCATGTTAGCAAAAGTAAAGCCGGCATAGCAATGTGCAAACGACACCTTCCCTTCATAAGCCGAGGACAAGAACCATACAAACTCTACTTCATCTGCTCAATATATCGCTAGGTCTAAAGAGTATTCTTTACTTTATTTAAATAGCTGCACTTACCTAGATAACGAATGTAATTAACACTAAACTAAGATCAAAATATTTAAAACTTATTTCACATTTAACTATACGATACAATCTTTGAGATGCTTAAACATGACATTAAATTCGACCGTGTCTAATACACAGTAAATATAAGCTATACAGTCTAATACATGTACACTATATAAAGGTAGATCGAAACTGAAAGAACAAAGAGATGCTCTTCGTGGGGGTAGAAGCCAGGGAAAGTAACCCTTAAACGACTTGGATTTCCCGCGGTAGTCGGTGTTGTTTGTTTCGGTGGAGGTTGTTGCCTCCCCTGACTCATTTTAATGTATGAATGCGGGTTAGGAAAAAGTAGGATTATGGTGCAAGAGGGGAAGGGGGAGGGGAGGGAGTTTGAGGTCAAGGTTTCATCACTTGAGCGGATAATGTCAAGGTTCTAAGTGTTTTGTTTTTAAGTACCGTGATTTTTTAATGAGCACTTAGTTAATTAGGATTATGTGGTACGATACAATGCTAAAAAGCTAGACGATTGATTTTTAAAATTTTGACTTTCGACCGCAAAGGACAAGCGACCTTGAGTTGAGTGTAAAGAAATTAAGTTTGTGGTTTCTGTTGTATATAATAGTCGAAAACCCCAAGTAATTTTTTTTTAATTTAAGTTAATTAGAAAGTAACAACCACAACTGCAATCTAACACCAAAAAAATCAATCAATGGTACCATGATAAATGATCTCAGGACAAATGATCTCAGACAAAATATCTCAGACAAAATATCTCAGACAAAATATCTCACGGACAAATGATCTCAGACAAAATATCTCAGACAAAATATCTCACGGACAAATGATCTCAGACAAAATATCTCAGACAAAATATCTCAGAAAAAATATCTCACGGACAAATAATCTCAGGACAAATGATCTGTGAGATATTTTGTGTGAGATCATTTGTCCTGTCACCCAATCAGCTATCACTGTCAATTATCAGCCACTTCAATCATCTTTCACAATCACTATTATTCAAACAACACCCTATAAAAAAACTTAAAGCGTATGATGTACAGTGTCCTTGCAACAAAACGAAAATAAAAGGTAAAGTAAAAAAAAACAACCCTTGAATCGTGGAATCATCTTGACGTTTCTAGTCTGTCGGGGATACTTGAATCAACTTTGGGGGTGAGCTTCAACTGTAGTGTAAACAGTGGGTGTTAAAGCCCCGCCCTACCTCAGCTCCTCCCTTCCCCCCCCCCCCCCAACTTATCGGATCCAAAAATGGAAGTCATCTCACGATTAGCTGCAGCTATTGGTGCTTGCGTGTGGCCTTAGATTTACAATTTTAAAACGTCATCAAACAGCAATTTTAGATTTTTTTTTAAGTCGTTAGTCGTTATGGAACACACAAACACGCACACACACACACACACACACACACACACACACACACACACACACATATATATATATATATATATATATATATATATATATATATATATATATATATATATATATATATATAATATATATATATATATATATATAACTATAAATATATATGTATATATATAATTAAATATATATATATATATATTTAATTATATATATACATACATATTTATAGTTATATATGTATATATATATATATATATATATATATATATATATATATATATATATATATATATATATATATATATATATATATATATATATATATATATATATATATATATATATATGTATATGTGTGTGTGTATGTGTGTATGACGTGTGTGTATGGATGTATTCAAGTATATACGAGGCCTAAAAATAAATTTTAGTTTATGAAAACAAAATAGTAACCCGACCTCATGACAAAGCCCTGCTTACTTATATGGACTTCGACCCCTCTTCCCCTCTCCAATATTCTTAGACGTCACGCTTATGTGAACAATATTTTTCTCACCACAACCGAAACTTTAGGTCTAGTCAACATGATACAAATAACTCATGAATGGGACAAAACGGAAATGGGAAATAGAGAGGTGCGGCGGGAGGGGTGGGGGTGGGAAGGGGGGAGGTGGCAGATGGATGGAGAAGTTGGGTAGGGGTGTGGTGATTATAAACTTACATTGAACACGCCGAGATTGCTTTTTTCTTTGTGCACAAATCATGGTCTGTATCAGTGGCGTCGCTTGGTCGGTGTCACCCGATGCGGCACTTCGTGGTGTCACCCTCCCCCACCTTAAGAAAAAAAGTATATATATATATATATATATATATATATATATATATATATATATATATATATATATATATATATATATATATATATATATATATATATACATATATATATGTGTGTGTGTGTGTATGTGTGTGTGTGTGGGTGTATGTGTGTGTTTGGCCTACATAGGCCTATAATACCCTGCCCTTTTGTTGCCCAATAATTGTTAATTTGTACTTAAAAGACTGTTTAACTTTAATTAATCACTAATGGATCTGGCAAAAAAAGCATTTTTCTTCTTACTTTTGCAATTTTTTGCCTTGGAGTCACCTTCCTAAATGGTGTTACCCGTTGCGTTCCGCACCCGCCGCCCCGCCCTCGCTACGCCTCTGGTCCGTATGTGTAATCTTGTGTTCAGAAGCGTAGCGAGGGGGGGGGGGGCGGGGGTGCGGACCGCACCGGGTGACACCATTTAGGGGGGGTGACACCATGTCATAAAATAACAAAATATATAGAGAAAAACTTGAGGGGGAGGTGTGCAATGCAAATCGAAAGTTTGAGGGGGGGGGTGCAAATCGAAAATTTGAATGTTTGTCCCCGGGAAGGGTCGCTATGTGTCTGGGGTTGACACCATTAAGTGCCGCACCGGGTGACACCCAACCTCGCTACGCCACTGCTTGTGTTGTAGGAAAGGGAGGGCGAGGTTGTAGTTATACAGTGGATATGTCCCACAAAACATGTTCTGCAACAGCGTGAGAAAAGTACGTCTTTTGTGTTCAGGAATTTCCCTGCCGTGAATACCTGTCTAAGATAACGCTACCATTCATATTCCCCGGTTCAGGGAAAACACCGTGACTGGGGAATTTAGAGTATTGATGCTAGCATTACTGTTAAGGCTCGCTTTCGTTCGGTTTAACAAATGCTAAAGTTTTAGTCATGCAGTCTAGATCACGTTTTCCACAAGTCTACATAGGCCTAACATAATACTTGCTCTCTAATACGAAAAAGCCGTTTCACAATCGCTCACACCGCTTTTATAAACACCTTAAACTTTGGGGTAACAATAAATAAACACACGGGGTTAAACTCAACCCACAGACTTGCTAAAGATTCGTAACATCTACGAACATAGTAACATATTCTTCTGGAAATAAAATACGTTTTGTTGTTAGTAGTGTTGTAACGTTTACATACAACTAATAAACTGCAAAAGAAAAACAACTAACGAGCTGGTCTTTCATAGATCGACACGGATAAAATGTGTTTTGGTTGTGGCTAGTGGTCACAGTGGCGTAGCCAGGAATTCGTCATGGGAGGGGTTCAAAAATGTTTCCGTACATATATAATCCTATATATATATATATATATATATATATATATATATATATATATATATATGACTAAATATTTATATATAGGGGTCGGGGTCCATGAGAGGGGTTATAACCCCCCCTAACCCACCTTGTCTACGCATCTGAGTGGTTAGTTACATTTCTAACTTGCCAGCAAAAATTGTGTAACACATGCTATTGTTAAGTGTAAGAACGAAGTACTTAGTCGTCAAGGACAATTTTTTTTATAAAAATATATTACGTATTCAGCCATCAGCATTAAACGTAATCTCGTATAAACACAACACAAGTGTTTAAACACATCTTTAAAGCAAAAACAAATGAATGACATTTATAAACAAGATAGATGATTAACAACACATGTATAGAAAACATTTTTCTTTTTAATAACAAAATATTACGATATTTCTATTCTGGTTTCCCAGAGCAGAGGTAGATATTTATTAATACTACTGTATAAAATATGTCGCTCTAATTTTAGCAGCACAAACACTTAAAATTATAGACGGGGCTAACATATTAAAACTAGCTACTAGAAATATATCGTTAAATTCACAAAAATTAGTTGGTCATCAAGCGTAAGAGTAACTATACGTCGTTTTAAATTTAGCAGCACAAACACTTAAAATAGTAGACGGGGCTAACATATTAAAACTAGCTACTAGAAATATATCGTTTAATTCACAAAAAGTAGTTGGTTGTCAAGCGTAAGAGTAACTATAATCATAACATGTGTAATGAGATTTGTTAGCTGCATCATACAATAAATTCACTTTACACAACATGTAATTATGTCCCGCATATTTACATAGCCTTGTCATCAATTCATAGACGAAAAATTCTCCATACAAAAATATACAATATTTAAACATGTTTTGATTTTTACATTTGACAATGTCTTTCTCTGTCTGTTTGTGGGAGACAGACACCACAATTTTGATCAATTTTTAAAAAAAAAGTAATTTCTTTCAAACTTTCCACATTTATTTTTTCCGATGACAATTTTTGAAATCCCAATAAATCTTTCAGAAATTTCAGCCACGAAACGCTTTTATTATTATATCACAGAAATAAATTTTTTTTTCGTAGTTTTAATGCATGTTAAGTTCTTTATTAGGCGTAGCGAGGGGGGAGGGGGTGCGGTCCGCACCGGGTGACACCATTTAGGGGGGTGACACCAAGGCAAAAAATAACAAAATATATAGAGAAAAACTTGAGGGGGGGGGGGGGGTCCAAATCAAAGTTTAAGGGGGGAGGGTGCAAATCAAAAACTTTAGGGGGGGGGGGGGTGCAAATCAAAGTTTAAGGGGGAGGGGTGCAAATCGAAAATTTGAAAGTTTGTCCCCGGGAAGGGTCGCTATGCCTATGGGGGGTGGGTGACACCATTAAGTGCCGCACCGGGTGATACCCGACCTCGCTACGCCACTGATTTATAATAAAGTATTTTGAGCTTGTTTTATTCAAATATTGAACTCAGCGCTTGAGATCAGCGGCCAGCTTATCCCAGAAGACACGATAGACGCTGTCGTTTGTTGTATCGTCGGGGTGGGGGTATGAGATGTACGTGTTACGCTTGATGTGGCACAGGAGGTCATGACCCAGATCCTTGGAGGAGATGGACTCTTTTAACAGGAACACCAGAGTGGGACGGCCACGGTCTATTGACTCCATGTTGGCTATCTGATAGAATATTTTTTTAAAAATATGACTTTAAAGTTTTCCTTAATAAAATTATGTACTGTAAAACATAAAATTTTAACCGGCTATTTTTTAAAAGGCTATTTAAAAATGAGCTCTCAATAAATAAAATAACTACTATCTTGGCCGTGGAAGTCACACAGGGTAGATGCAGTAGAGTTTATGTGTTTATGTGACCTCGGAATATAAAATGATATAGTGGTCAGTTCTATGCCCAGCCGCCTATTGACAAAATAAAGTCAGGTACCCCTCATAGCTGGGTGGGCTCAGGGATCCGAACTCGAGTCTTTCGGGATATTATTCGTGCGCTCAACCACCCAATCACACAGTCCCCCCTGAACTTTTTGGAGTTTTAAATCATTTGTATCGGATATGAATTTTAAAAATCTTACGAATGTGTTAAACGATTGATTTGTTCGTCGTATCAATTTGCTTCTTGTTTTTTTCCGCAAAATTACTGTGACTTGCAAATTGTGAATGTTAAGGTGCTTGTAATTTGACCATATTGGTATCAGCGGTTATCCAATCAATCAACATTTTTAATGTTTTATATTAAAACTATTCAATCTCTTACGTGTGCATGTTTTTTTTTAAACTATGTATTTAAATGTTAAGAGTGTGTCCGATATTGTTCTTTTTCCCTATAGAATGCCAGGTATAACAATAACATTTATATGAAGAAATGTGTTTTTAAACTTTATATCAAACCCTTGCCATAATTTTATTCCTGTGTTGTCTTATTAGGGACGGAGGTGGCACCAAAATCGCCAATGGTTTGTATTTATTCTATATATACAAAGTAGTTGGCGGAGGGTGTGACACCCTGGGTTACCAGACCCCGTATCACCCGACCTAGTGACGCCAAAGTACCTAAGCCATAACGTTCATCAGTCTACGTGAGTATAGCAAAGTTCCCTTTTCGAACCGGGGATTGCAAGTTGAGTTCCCCCGTTTCTGTGAACTAGGCATATGAAGGGATCATGTGGATATTATGCCCAGTTGCCTTTACTTTCCCTAATGTGAATTAGGTACGCATCAGAGATACATGGACGTTCTACTGACTTGCCCAGTGGCCTTTACTTTTCCTAATGTGAGTTAGGTACACATGAGTTGATTCAGGAACGTTCTACTGACTTGAACCCGGATTCGAACTCGAGATTTTCGTATTAGCAGTTTAGCGCTCTACCATTAGGCCACCCCATCCCACCAACTGAAATATACCATTCAAAAAGAGTGACAAATCGTGCAACTACCTGCAGCTCATAGTTACACCACTTGCTGGCCAACAGGTGTCTGGTCAAGATGACCAGCGTCTTCCTGCTCTCCTTGACGGCCGTCACGATGTTGGCCGCTATCCAGTTGCCCGTAGCGAAGTCTCGGCCGTGAACGTGAAGCTTGAGGCCCCGACTTTGAAGCTCTGGAAAGAAGAATTAACCGACCGTTACCGTCCACTCCTTTAAAACATAGCTTGACGCTTTCACCTAGGTATACAACTGTATTGAATAGCTAAAGTATGAGTTCAGATACATGAATTTCTTTGGTGGGTTTTTTAATGAGAAACATGTAGGTATACAACTGTATTGAATAGCTAAAGTATGAGTTCAGATACATGAATTTCTTTGGTGGGTTTTTAATGAGAAACATGTAGGTATACAATTGTATTGAATGGCTAAAGTATTTCAGATACATGAATTTCTTTGGTGGGTATTTAATGAGAAACATGTAGGTATACTATTGTATTGAATAGCTAAAGTATGAGTTCAGATACATGAATTTCTTTGGTGGGTTTTTAATGAGAAACATGTAGGTATACAATTGTATTGAATGGCTAAAGTATGAGTTCAGATACATGAATTTCTTTGGTGGGTTTTTAATGAGAAACATGTAGGTATACAATTGTATTGAATGGCTAAAGTATGAGTTCAGATACATGAATTTCTTTGGTGGGTTTTTTAATGAGAAACATGTAGGTATACAACTGTATTGAATAGCTAAAGTATGAGTTCAGATACATGAATTTCTTTGGTGGGTTTTTAATGAGAAACATGTAGGTATACAATTGTATTGAATGGCTAAAGTATTTCAGATACATGAATTTCTTTGGTGGGTATTTAATGAGAAACATGTAGGTATACTATTGTATTGAATAGCTAAAGTATGAGTTCAGATACATGAATTTCTTTGGTGGGTTTTTAATGAGAAACATGTAGGTATACAATTGTATTGAATGGCTAAAGTATGAGTTCAGATACATGAATTTCTTTGGTGGGTTTTTAATGAGAAACATGTAGGTATACAATTGTATTGAATGGCTAAAGTATGAGTTCAGATACATGAATTTCTTTGGTGGGTTTTTAATGAGAAACACGTAGGTATACAATTGTATTGAATGGCTAAAGTATGAGTTCAGATACATGAATTTCTTTGGTGGGTTTTTAATGAGAAACATGTAGGTATACAATTGTATTGAATGGCTAAAGTATTTCAGATACATGAATTTCTTTGGTGGGTATTTAATGAGAAACATGTAGGTATACTATTGTATTGAATAGCTAAAGTATGAGTTCAGATACATGAATTTCTTTGGTGGGTTTTTAATGAGAAACATGTAGGTATACAATTGTATTGAATGGCTAAAGTATGAGTTCAGATACATGAATTTCTTTGGTGGGTTTTTAATGAGAAACATGTAGGTATACAATTGTATTGAATGGCTAAAGTATGAGTTCAGATACATGAATTTCTTTGGTGGGTTTTTTAATGAGAAACATGTAGGTATACAACTGTATTGAATAGCTAAAGTATGAGTTCAGATACATGAATTTCTTTGGTGGGTTTTTAATGAGAAACATGTAGGTATACAATTGTATTGAATGGCTAAAGTATTTCAGATACATGAATTTCTTTGGTGGGTATTTAATGAGAAACATGTAGGTATACTATTGTATTGAATAGCTAAAGTATGAGTTCAGATACATGAATTTCTTTGGTGGGTTTTTAATGAGAAACATGTAGGTATACAATTGTATTGAATGGCTAAAGTATGAGTTCAGATACATGAATTTCTTTGGTGGGTTTTTAATGAGAAACATGTAGGTATACAATTGTATTGAATGGCTAAAGTATGAGTTCAGATACATGAATTTCTTTGGTGGGTTTTTAATGAGAAACACGTAGGTATACAATTGTATTGAATGGCTAAAGTATGAGTTCAGATACATGAATTTCTTTGGTGGGTTTTTAACGAGAAACATGTAGGTATACAATTGTATTGAATGGCTAAAGTATGGGTTCAGATACATGAATTTCTTTGGTGGTTTTTTAATGAGAAACATGTAGGTATACAATTGTATTGAATAGCTAAAGTATGAGTTAAGATACATGAATTTCTTTGGTGGGTTTTTAATGAGAAACATGTAGGTATACAATTGTATTTAATGGCTAAAGTATAAGTTCAGATAATGAAATTCTTGGGTGGGTTTTTAATGTGAAACATGTAGGTATACAATTGTATTGAATAGCTAAAGTATGAGTTCAGATACATGAATTTCTTTGGTGGGTTTTTAATTAGAAACATTTAGGTATACAATTGTATTGAATGGCTAAAGTATGAGTTCAGATACATGAATTTCTTTGGTGGGTTTTTAATGAGAAACATGTAGGTATACAATTGTATTGAATGGCTAAAGTATGAGTTCAGATACATGAATTTCTTTGGTGGGTTTTTAATGAGAAACATGTAGGTATACAATTGTATTGAATGGCTAAAATATGAGTTCAGATACATGAATTTCTTTGGTGGGTATTTAATGAGAAACATGTAGGTATACTATTGTATTGAATAGCTAAAGTATGAGTTCAGATACATGAAATTCTTTGGTGGGTTTTTAATGAGAAACATGTAGGTATACAATTGTATTGAATGGCTAAAGTATGAGTTCAGATACATGAATTTCTTTGGTGGGTTTTTAATGAGAAACACGTAGGTATACAATTGTATTGAATGGCTAAAGTATGAGTTCAGATACATGAATTTCTTTGGTGGGTTTTTAACGAGAAACATGTAGGTATACAATTGTATTGAATGGCTAAAGTATGAGTTCAGATACATGAATTTCTTTGGTGGGTATTTAATGAGAAACATGTAGGTATACAATTGTATTGAATGGCTAAAGTATGAGTTCAGATACATGAATTTCTTTGGTGGGTTTTTAACGAGAAACATGTAGGTATACAATTGTATTGAATGGCTAAAGTATAAGTTCAGATACATGAATTTCTTTGGTGGGTATTTAATGAGAAACATGTAGGTATACTATTGTATTGAATAGCTAAAGTATGAGTTCAGATACATGAAATTCTTTGGTGGGTTTTTAATGAGAAACATGTAGGTATACAATTGTATTGAATGGCTAAAGTATGAGTTCAGATACATGAATTTCTTTGGTGGGTTTTTAATGAGAAACACGTAGGTATACAATTGTATTGAATGGCTAAAGTATGAGTTCAGATACATGAATTTCTTTGGTGGGTTTTTAATGAGAAACATGTAGGTATACAATTGTATTGAATAGCTAAAGTATAAGTTCAGATACATGAAATTCTTTGGTGGGTTTTTAATGAGAAACATGTAGGTATACAATTGTATTGAATGGCTAAAGTATGAGTTCAGATACATGAATTTCTTTGGTGGGTTTTTAATGAGAAACATGTAGGTATACAATTGTATTGAATGGCTAAAGTATAAGTTCAGATACATGAATTTCTTTGGTGGGTATTTAATGAGAAACATGTAGGTATACTATTGTATTGAATAGCTAAAGTATGAGTTCAGATACATGAAATTCTTTGGTGGGTTTTTAATGAGAAACATGTAGGTATACAATTGTATTGAATGGCTAAAGTATGAGTTCAGATACATGAATTTCTTTGGTGGGTTTTTAATGAGAAACACGTAGGTATACAATTGTATTGAATGGCTATAGTATGAGTTCAGATACATGAATTTCTTTGGTGGGTTTTTAATGAGAAACATTTAGGTATACAATTGTATTGAATAGCTAAAGTATAAGTTCAGATACATGAAATTCTTTGGTGGGTTTTTAATGAGAAACATGTAGGTATACAATTGTATTGAATGGCTAAAGTATGAGTTCAGATACATGAATTTCTTTGGTGGGTTTTTAATGAGAAACACGTAGGTATACAATTGTATTGAATGGCTAAAGTATGAGTTCAGATACATGAATTTCTTTGGTGGGTTTTTAACGAGAAACATGTAGGTATACAATTGTATTGAATGGCTAAAGTATGGGTTCAGATACATGAATTTCTTTGGTGGTTTTTTAATGAGAAACATGTAGGTATACAATTGTATTGAATAGCTAAAGTATAACCATAACCTTCCTTTGTATCCGGTCACCGGCTCCCAAGACATACCTGCTGTCTTCGTTTCTTTAAGAAGATTTCCGCGGCGTTTCATTTTTTTTTTTGCTAAATAAGGTGCATGGGGCGATATTTTTTTATTGCTAATATTAAGTTCCAGGTGCCCCCCACCCCCACCACCACCGGAAATGTCTGAAACACTGACCACACACGTTACCAACCATTAATTCATCTTTGTTTAAACGAAGCAAGCCATTTATTCCACTCTTGTTCACATTACCTTATGTGTATACGTATATCTATGTGTAAGTGTGTGTGTGGGGGGGGGGGGGGGAATTTCTTTCACTAATCTGTCCTATTAATTGTAACGTCTGAAACAGGTACTGATCGAAGTAGCTCTTTATTTCAAACTTCAAAGCGGACAAATCAAAATGTGCAAGAATTTTTTAATTGTATTAATTATTTCGATTAAATTAGCAAACTGCTTTTCTGCTTTTTTTTTCGAATAGAAAGACACAGAATTTGATTTTCTTAGAAAAGTGCTAAAGGCTATTGAGGATATTAAAAGCTTGAAACATGCAGCATTCTATAACAGTGACTGAAATTAAGAAAACTTCCATGAGTATCTTGCCTTTGTTTAGTGTGTTTAACACAAAGCTTTCATCCAGAGAGGAGTAGGATAAGAAGACGTCATATTTATAACTCTCCTGGCTGCCTCTGTTTTTCTGGGAGTTCATTTTCAAGATGGCGGCATAGTAGAAGTACCGAATGTTCCATCGGAACCTGTGTACAAAAAGTTTATTTGGGTCAGATGTGAGCATTGTTTCTTCCAGACTTTTTTTCCGGGGGGGGGGGGGGGGGGGAGGAGGGTGAAGCACTTTTGGGAGCGAGTTGTGGGGGGGGGGGGGTAAAAATTTAATTATGGGGGTGGGGGAAGGAGTGGGTAGCGGTAGACATTCTTTGGGGGGAAATGCCTGAAAGAAACTCTGGATTTAAAATAACCTGAGCTTAGATTTTAAAAAAAATAATATTTAAATAAGATTAACGATTAGTGAATGTTTATATCTGGAATTATTGTGAAAAGTGATTGGGAAAGTGAGCAGTTGTAAAATTATTTTAAAATGTTAAGCAAATGCGCAATTTCAACTATGTTCAAACACACCTCTTTAGTCTGATAATTAACTAGTTTCTTGAACCATGGATATTTTGGTAAGTTAAATTTTGTCAATTTTGGCTTCATATTATGGTGTGTAATTCAGAACCTTAAAATCATTTTAAAATAATAATTTTTATTAAAGCACTCTTAACTTACAAGTCAATACGTCAGCCTTATTCTATTTTTTTCCGTTAAAATTCAATAAGAAAAACAAAAGAATTTTGTATCAATCAATAAAAAATGAAATGATGTTATTTACAAAACGCTGTATAAATAAGTTGTAATTAGGTTTCTCTTAATGTATAAATGTTGTCAATAAAAAAATGTATAACTTTTTTTGCAGTGTGAAAACTGGTAATATGTTTTATGTTTTCGTTGAAAGATAACTATCTCATAATAGATTTGTTTTTCACTAAAATAATTTATTTTTAAAATAATACAAAAATAACCTGTAGACTATACTGGCCAGTACGAAGCCAAGTAGGACCAAAGTCGCCAGAACCACGGCTAGAAAAACGTAGTACTTGTCCACACATTTGCCGCTGAGAAATCGAATCGTCGTGTCGTAGCTGTCGTTGATGAACCTGTAGGAACTGTCGTAGTACTTACACATGTAGTGTTTGAATTTGTTGTCAAAGGCACGGGACCCTACCATCCATTTGATGAATTCTAAATTGTTACACTCACATAGTATAGGACTGAAGGATAGATCAACGCGTATGGGACAGGATTTATTAATTGCACATAGGTTATCAATGTGCTGGCGAACGACTGGTGGTAAGTAGGAGACGTCCGTGTGGGTTAAGTTTAGAAGTTTTAACTTCGTCATGTGCGTGATGTTGATGTTGAACAACCACATATTATTGTGGTGTAGGTTGAGGTACTCCAGATTCGCGAGCCCCTTAAACAAGTTCACCGGCAAGATTGTCAGCTGACAGTGAGATAAGTCGAGAGTGATGAGGTGTTCAAGATCTTGAAAGATCATCCCTTCCTCGTCCAGATCATTGAGGTAGTCATCGAAATGGTTGTTGCCTAGCAACAGTGCTTTAAGACCCGGAAAGCCAGAAAGAAACTTGCGGGTTATTACTTGAATAGAGTTGTACTCTAAGTTTAGATAGGTCACGTTTTGGAATCCGTACACAGGTCCGGAAATTTCCGGAAAATAATTATCGCTGAGCTTCAAGCGACTTAACGTGTTTGTGAAGTTGAGATGGAGTTCGGAAATTTTATACTTCAATGCGCAGATACTCATATCTAGGTGTTTCAAATTGGGTGGCACCTGTAAAATCAATCTTTTCTTGAGTTCATATCCAGCGTTGTTGACAACTTCAAAGCTGGCAACACCGTTGTTTGGCGTGTAGCTGTGGGGGAGTGAGTACAAAAATCCTCCCCCGTTTAGCATTACTGTGGTTAGTTTTCGCAGTTTCCAGATATATTTCATATATTCACCAAATACAAACCTGTTGTTCCCCATATCAAGGTATGTTAAGTTATCCGGTAGTAAATCAAAAACGTCGTCGGAAATAGATTCTACGGCGTTTTCTCGAAGTTCGATGTGTTCCAGAGATTTTGGAAGATTCTGAACCATGGATGAATTTATCTCGATGCTTTTTGAGTGAAGATTCACAATAGAATTTATATAGAGAGAAACCAGTTTTGAATCTCTAAGCCCATAAAGCAGGATAGAAAGTTTATAAAATTCTAACGGTCGATTGTATGAAAGATCGAGAACCTGGAGGTTGAGTAGCGGACTCAACGCCCCATATTCGTGGTTGTAGTAGCGAAAAATACGACAGTCGCTGATGTTGAGGAACGTTAGTTGCGATAAGTGTGTGAATGTCGAGTTTTTTAATGTACCTAGATCACACTGTCCCTCCGTATAGCCAGCAAGGGTGAGGTTTCTTAATGAAGACATGCTAGCAAACCCAGCGCTAAAATTTTTGTTGAAAAGCCCATCTAAATACAACGTTGTTAAGTTCCGTAAATCGGATAGCTGCTGATCCGGATATTGGTAAGTTTTATTGGTAGTATTGAACGTGTTGTTGTTTAATTTAAGAAAATGTAGTGACTGTAACGGTTTGAAAATTCCTGGAGGAAACGCATCCACTTTCATAACTAGATTATTGCTCTGTAGCGTCAAACAGGTAAGTTTTGTCATACATTGAAACGATTGGGGGTAAAGCTCTGAAATTTGGTTATACGATAGGTCTAAAATTCTGAGTTGAGTATAGTTACAAAAAGTCTGGTTTGGGATGGACGTCAAATTGTTGTGATCGAGATAAAGTTGCGTTAAATTCTGCGGTAACGCACCAGGTACTGTGGTGAGTCCAAGACCGGAACACACGCAGATAAAAAGCGAACATTTGCATCCGTTTATAATTTTAAACGTTGAACCTGAGGTAGAAATCTTGTCAAAACTGCATAGGTTATCTGGCGAAGATGATTGCTGGGATGGATCTTCAAGCTCCCATTCTGAACTTATCGAAGCCGCTGTCACTGTCAGTAATGTCAGTATAGACACGATCAACACCTGGGTCTTGTCTGTCAGTGTCATGATGGGTCAGCTCTCTGTTGACAAAAAACAACATGACAGTTTATACGTCATGTAAAAAATAAAAATAAAAAGCTCTCCTTTCAAACTTAAAGATCAATAAGGCACTTAAGCAGAGGTCACGTTTCTTGACCTCGGCATATGAAGGGATGGTGTGGTCAGCACTATGCCCAGCCGCCTTTACTTTCCCCAACGTGAGTCAGGTACCCATCAGAGCTGAGTGGACTCAGGGTCGTCCTACATTCCTACGTCCGGACCGAGATCCGAACTCGAGACCTTCGTGCTAGTAGCCGGACGGTATATAATGTAACCTGAAAATACTAACTCTTTGTAGTAGTTAGAAGAGATGTGCGCAGTAAAAAAAGGATACACAAAATGTAGAATCAGTCTGAAAATAAATATCTCAAACAATTTACTACTTAGTGCATATTACCTTGCATATTTTAGGTGTTATATATATTTAATAAACCGGGAGTGATCTCCCCTAAACTTTCTCGAATATTCTTATATAAAACAACAGGGGATGGGAACTCGGGATATAGTTATGATTTTTAATCCATTTTAAATACTTAAACTTTTTAAAATAAAATAGAATCTCATAGAAAAAAGTATTGCACACCAAGCGAACGCCGAATAAAGATGTTCATAATGGTGCGCAATATTATTAGTACTTTATAAATTTAGATGCGTTTTTGAGAAATCGGAAATAGCGTAAATTAGTACTTCCCGTCAACGGAAATTACTCAAAATTTGATAGAACGAAGAGAATTAGATTTTTTACTTACATGTGAAATTTCGTTTATCTATCTGAAATAGTACTCAAGTTATAGGCTTTTGAAAAATTCAAAGTAGAAAAAGTACCACTTCCGGTTGTCGGAAATCGCTCAAAAGTTGATACGGATCTACGATTTTGATATAATACTTATATATGAAATTTCATCAACCTAGCTGTAACGGTACTCAAGTTATCGTGTTTACACACACACACACACACACACACACACAGACATACGAACAAGATTGCAAAAATTATGTTTTTCCGTATCAGTGAGATGTAAAACGTCGAGATTTGTAAAAATCTCGATTTTTTTTTGCACGATTACAAGACTTTCTTTATAGGCCTACTTCGTATATACGAGAAAGTAAAAAACCAACAGCAAGACATAGTTTATTTATCAAGATTTATTTCCCGTTCATCAGATACAAAGATGTGCAACCATCATACATCTTCAAATACTGTCAATATTTTATAAAGTAGGATTTTTAATTGATACCAATCTTTCATTCAACCTTTTTTTATGAATGAAATGACAAAACGTTTGGTGATACTAAATCTAGAACACTGGAAATATAAAATGTTGCTGTTAGAAATTACAGGGAAGGTTATACATTTTAAAATTATATTTTTTAATTGTAGCTTGATTGAAGACTTCAGACAAGCCCAAAACTTAACGGCCCACCATCTAAAACCACATATGGCCTGAGACTGGAGATTTAGATATACCTCACCACCTCCTACCATTACCAAATGAAGAGGGCTGGCCAACTTTAAAACGCCCTTTGTTAAAAGCAAAAAAAAAAGGCTTAAAATTTTTTTCAAACACATTTGTCAGTTAAACCTGAGAAAATAAACATAAATTAATTTATTTTAAACTTGCGTACACATTGAGGCAAAAGTGTAACCTTCTGCTAATGAATATAATACCAAAGGTCAGGGGTTACATCATTTAATTACGTTAATATCACAGCCCACATTGGAGTTCAAAGAGTAAAATTAAAATAATCGTCTATGAAACAGTTTGTACAGTTTAACATCTTTGGCCTCTTAATTATGAAATTAAACTAATATAATACTTTTTTCTGTAATTGTTGATCCAAGCTTTAAAATACAACATATTTTAAAATAAACCGGTAGTGATCTCCCCTAAACTTTCTCGAATATTCTTATATAAAACAACAGGGGATGGTTACTGGGGATATAGTTATGATTTTTAATCCATTTTAAATACTGAAACTTTTAAAAATAGAATAGAATCTCAGTAAAAAAAATTTGCGCACCAAGCGAACGCCTAATAAAGGTGTGTATAATAGTGCGCAATAGTATTAGTACTTAATAAATTTACATTAGTTTTTTGAGAAATCGGAAGTAGCGTAAATTACTACTTCCGGTCAACGGAAATAACTCAAAATTTAACAGAAGGTAGAGAATTAGATCTTTTACTTACATGTGAAATTTCATTTATCTATCTGAAATAGTACTCAAGTTATAGGCTTTTGAAAAATTCAAAGTAGAAAAAGTACCACTTCCGGTTGTCGGAAATCGCTCAAAAGTTGATACGGATCTACGATTTTGATATAATACTTATATATGAAATTTCATCAACCTAGCTGTAACGGTACTCAAGTTATCGTGTTTACACACACACACACACACACACACACACACACACACACAGACATACGAACAAGATTGCAAAAATTATGTTTTTCCGTATCAGTGAGATGTAAAACGTCGAGATTTGTAAAAATCTCGATTTTTTTTTTTGCACGATTACAAGACTTTCTTTATAGGCCTACTTCGTATATACGAGAAAGTAAAAAACCAACAGCAAGACATAGTTTATTTATCAAGATTTATTTCCCGTTCATCAGATACAAAGATGTGCAACCATCATACATCTTCAAATACTGTCAATATTTTATAAAGTAGGATTTTTAATTGATACCAATCTTTCATTCAACCTTTTTTCCCACGTTTTCTTTAACTTGCTTTCTCTGTGTGTTTGTTTGTCTTTCCAATCCAATCTTGCGATCGAAATTTCTGGCACTTCCCAGTTAGCTAGCGCGCTGAAATTTTCAGGGAAGCTTTGTTTTGGATGACAATTGAATATTCTATTGTTTTTATTACTAAATTAATCCATGGAAACATTTTATTGATCATTTTAGACCGCTATATAATTGTACCAAAAAACGTGGGGAAAAAGGGACATTACCCAGTAACTGTAATTTGATGAAAACAAGGTTCGGCACTCCCCCTCTTTTTGCTTACTGAGTAGTTGTCACGCGGTGTTTGTGTACAAACAACCATAACCTAACAACTGGTGGCCAGTATGGGGGAGACTATATGGTCGAGTGGTTGGGCACACGATTGCTATCCCACTCGACACGGGTTAAAATCTATGTGTTCTAGTCAGTAACGTATTCACACAACGTGTTTTTTACGAGTTGTCTTTTTACGAGTTGTCTTTTTACGAGTTGTCTTCGTTTACCCAAAAAAAAAGTGAAAAGATAAAATCGATAGCAAGATTTTAATGCAAACAAACAGACAAAGACTAAAAAGTAGAAAATAATAATCATTAAAAAAGTTTTTAAAAACCCACGTTTTCTGATTGAACTAAAAAGTAGAAAATAAATACTATACATCACAATAATGCAAGCGATCACTCTACTATAAGCGATCAAAAACGTGGGGCGCCGAAGTAAAAGTTATATTACTATTGATTAGATAATACTATTGACTTTTATTAGGGAGCTTGTAGAGAGTCAACAGTATTAGAAACTGTAAGAAAATCACGGCGCCCCACGTTTTTGATAGCTTATAGTAGAGTGATCGCTTGCATTATTGTGATGTATAGTATTTATTTTCTACTTTTTAGTTCAATCAGAAAACGTGGGTTTTTTTAAACTTTTTTAATGATTATTATTTTATGAATGAAATGACAAAACGTTTGGTGATACTAAATCTAGAACACTGGAAATATAAAATGTTGCTGTTAGAAATTACAGGGAAGGTTATACATTTTAAAATTATATTTTTTAATTGTAGCTTGATTGAAGACTTCAGACAAGCCCAAAACTTAACGGCCCACCATCTAAAACCACATATGGCCTGAGACTGGAGATTTAGATATACCTCACCACCTCCTACCATTACCAAATGAAGAGGGCTGGCCAACTTTAAAACGCCCTTTGTTAAAAGCAAAAAAAAAAAAGGCTTAAAATTTTTTTCAAACACATTTGTCAGTTAAACCTGAGAAAATAAACATAAATTAATTTATTTTAAACTTGCGTACACATTGAGGCAAAAGTGTAACCTTCTGCTAATGAATATAATACCAAAGGTCAGGGGTTACATCATTTAATTACGTTAATATCACAGCCCACATTGGAGTTCAAAGAGTAAAATTAAAATAATCGTCTATGAAACAGTTTGTACAGTTTAACATCTTTGGCCTCTTAATTATGAAATTAAACTAATATAATACTTTTTTCTGTAATTGTTGATCCAAGCTTTAAAATACAACATATTTTAAAATAAACCGGTAGTGATCTCCCCTAAACTTTCTCGAATATTCTTATATAAAACAACAGGGGATGGTTACTGGGGATATAGTTATGATTTTTAATCCATTTTAAATACTGAAACTTTTAAAAATAGAATAGAATCTCAGTAAAAAACAATTGCGCACCAAGCGAACGCCTAATAAAGGTGTGTATAATAGTGCGCAATAGTATTAGTACTTAATAAATTTACATTAGTTTTTTGAGAAATCGGAAGTAGCGTAAATTACTACTTCCGGTCAACGGAAATAACTCAAAATTTAACAGAAGGTAGAGAATTAGATCTTTTACTTACATGTGAAATTTCATTTATCTATCTGAAATAGTACTCAAGTTATAGGCTTTTGAAAAATTCAAAGTAGAAAAAGTACCACTTCCGGTTGTCGGAAATCGCTCAAAAGTTGATACGGATCTACGATTTTGATATAATACTTATATATGAAATTTCATCAACCTAGCTGTAACGGTACTCAAGTTATCGTGTTTACACACGGACACACAGACACACACAGAGACACACACACACACACAGACATACGGACAAGATTGCAAAATTATGTTTTTCCGTATCAGTGAGGTGTAAAACGTCGAGATTTGTAAAAATCTCGATTTTTTTTTTTGCACGATTACAATACTTTCTCTATACTACGTATATATGAGAA